CTGAAGCGCTCCAAACCATAAGACTCGTGGGTTAAAAATAAAATCACACCACGGACAGTCCTTCTCAGGGCATCTCGTGAAGAACTACTGCAGCCGTCTGCAGACCCCAGCAAATGCTGCGGCTGCTCCTCCACCCCAAAGGGTAAGCAACTGCTTTCCTTTTAAGCATTGAGACATAGCACAGCAATAAGTAAAGAGCAATACATTAATGTCGTTTACAATACAGTGGGATAGAGCATTTTGCGCAGCAGTGAGGAAAACACCCTATGGGAGAACTGAGCTCCAGCACACCAGAGGGATCGTAAGGCTCCAAAGTATGTTCAGCATTTTTGTTCTTTGAAATGCATGCAACTATTTCTTTTTCCTGTAACTTTGACAAGAAATTAAAAGTCCGAGTATCTGAAAACATGTCTGTTGGTATTCTAAATAAACTCAGCTAACTTTAACTAGTCCTGGAAACCATTATTCTCCAAGGCCTGCCCAGTTGAATTGTCATGTTCGGTGTGTCCCTTTCTCCAGCCTTACAAACACACCAAAAAGAGGGGGTTATCTACATTTAGCTATCAGTCCCCAAATAAAGAGCTTTCTGCTTTGCCTCTGAATTTATTGATGATAGTTTTCTTAAATACTTTCAATGTACTATTCAAAAATTGTAATAACTGTCTAATTATTATAGATAAACAAATTTAAGGCATTCAAAACCTCTTGATACGTAATATTTTACATCTTACAAGACCTGTGATTCAATACTGTTACCAGGAACAAGAAGCAGTAATTCTTATAGATCCGTGTTAGCCTGAGGCAATTTTAAAAGAAAAACCTACACTTTAAGCTGCCAAACACACTTTTTTCTCAGAAAAGATAAAAGAATGGTGGTTAGCCATTTTTTTGTTGCTGTTCATTTGTTTCTTAAAGGCATATGAATTCAGTTTTTACTGCAAGCCTCATGTTAAGTAGCTGTGCATATGTTGCAGCGTTTGTTTTAAGCCTTTGCTGTTGTAACACACAACTATCTCACAGCGAGAAAAAAAGAAGTATTTATAGCCTTTATGATCATGAAGGAAGAACATAATGTCTAACAGTAGGGACAATAAAAATAGTAATTCATCCTCACCCCCTCCTCCAAACTTAAGTATACAGATATGCACCTTTAGTGCATTTTTCCTGCCTCAAGCGACGGGAGGGGCTGGCTCAGAGGCGTTAGACCAGCAATACTGCAAACTGCTCATTCCAGCTTCCTCACGTACTTATGGTGGTTTCTTCCAGATATGCTTTCTCGTAAGCATGAGAGACGTATCAAAAGAGAAAGAGCAACAACTCTGAAGTCTCTACCCCACCACCTAACTTCTGCCAGCACCAATTCCAGGACCAATCTGGGCAGCAATAAGACATTTCCTAAAGAATAGAGTTATAAGTCGTTTCATTCAGTCTACGGTCCTGCTGCAATGAAAGCCCTTTGAAAACCTAGTTTAAGAACCTCTGTTTAAAAACAGTTTTAAAAAGCTAAAGGCTGTAGAAAGGTCTTCGGACCCACCCGGAGCATCATTCCAGCTCCCCTTCACAAAGGGAGCCAGATGAAGCCACAGCATTACCCAGGACCCCGACCTGGGACCCCCACTGGGGTATTCACAGAGGAATCCTGATTAAAAATAAGGGTGGACTGTTGCTCTCTGATCCTTCTGCTCCCTCTCTCCTCTCTGAAATGTGTTTTTCTTTAGTCCCTTCCCTCCTACAATGCCTGGGCTCAGGGGAAAACTAGAATAGCCATTCCTTAATCCCCACTTTTTTTTTATTCTCAAAATTATTTTGCTTTCTGCAGTAACTGCACACAGGATATATATTTATATACGTTTAAAGCTAACAAACCCCACTGAGTCCCACAAGCTTTTACAAGAGTCTATAAAAGTATCACATGGCAAAGCAATGATGTGAAGTCAAAAGGTGAACATTGTCCTCTGAGACTACGGATATGTATTCTGGGTCACAAGAGTGAAAAAATGTAGTTCAAATTTAAGTCATCTCCTTCCACTGCTTTCTGTTATGTCCCCACTGAGATCCCAACGAGGGTTTTTAAATATTTTTAATTAGGCCTAGATTCCTGACATACCTAAGCCAGGAGTATTACTGCATGCTGCAGCTAGAAACCTAACACAAAAGTGATCATAGTGCACTGCAAGAGCATCAGTCCTCATATGTTAGTCCTCATACAGGCTTCTTTGTTTTTAAAAGCAAAAATAAGTCACTTTTACTTAAATTTATCCTTTGGGAGAAATCAATCCAGAAAGAAACTGCACCCAACAAGCAACCAGGGATTTCATGTACAGGTCTGCATGAGGTCACAGTGGCTTTGAGGAATGGCTATAACTGGATTAATCTTTAATTAATATAATGAAATAAGAATATGATTCGCCAAACAAATCAAAGTGAAGCTTATAGCTCTGAATAGAGCCAGTATATAAGAAATCGATACTGATTTCCTCTGCACTAGGTTATTTTCTTGTGATTGATTACGTGAAAGAAGACCTCACCTGCATTTTTCAAGATGGAGGACTCTTTATAGAATCACAGAATCATCTAGGTTGGCAGGGACCTTTAAGATCATCAAGTCCAACCATCAAAATACTTATTTACAACCATTACAACACTACTTATTTATAACCATTACAATACTTACAAAGCCATTCCCATCTTCATCAAGGAACGGGTACGCCTGCAGCAGAGCATTGACAACAATGTTGTATTGCTGACTGTTGGGATACCTGTGCAAACAAGACAGAGATGTAAAAGAAATAGTTGGTATTCCAGACAGTATCAGACACTGTCTGGAGTATATACTGATATACATTAAACTGACTATTTCCAAGGCCTCCAAATAACAAAGGGAACAGCTTTAAGGTTTGCATGAAGTCTTCCTGTTGCTTCAAGCTTAGTCTCCCCTATTTAAGCAAGCATATTAAAGGGAATGGCTTTACACCCATTTGAAAATTTACTTCTGCAGCCAATTGGTAATGCCCCCAGATAAATCTAACAATGTTTACTCACAGTGATCCTTGTAGGTATTTTGTCATGTCCGCTTGTAAAAATTCAATAATCCTTATTCTCATACTGTGATCGGGGCATTTTTTTTCTGCCAATAGGCACTTGACATCGTAAGGGAAGTCTGGTAAAGCATAAGAACTTGTCCATTGCAACGTCTTGTATCTTGCAAAAAATGATTTCAGATTTTTTCTGTAAAAGAAAAGATTATGTCATCATGATCAGGTCCTTCTTCCAGGGGAATGCAAGCAAGAAGGAAAAAAAAAAAAAACCAAGCAAAAAATCAACACAAAGGAGTTATTGCAATAGAAATTCAAGGCTTGCTTTCTTGGTTTCTACATAAAGAATACCCACAAAAGCTGCAATCAAAACATATGGGGTTAAAACCAGATGTCAGTTGTGAAATGTTTTAATCAGCAGATGCTAGAAGGTGGTCACTAACTGAAAGCAGAAGGCAGAGCGGAGGAAGTCACTGGGGACTAGCTACTGTTGCAAAATAACTTTATCTGTCATCATTTATAGTGTGTTTCCTACCAGTTCTGCTAACTTACTTGTGAAAGTAAGCTGAACAGCTTAATTGAATAAAATACTATACACAACATTAGCTAAGACTGTCCTCCCAAAGGGGAAAGCAGGGAAGGGATGAAGGCAGTTATCATCAGCACATGGCTGGAGATAAAGCAGACGCAGCCCGAAGTACCCGCAGCTCTGATCCCAAGAAGACCATCAGCACTGTTTACAGATGTCACACCCCAGCTGGGGTGAGCCTGAGGCAGGGTATCACCACTGCCTAGCCAAATGCTTTTGACCTCCAGAGAGCCTGCCAAACCCTAATTCCAAAGGAACACAGGGAGAAGTAGAGATAAATTAAGCTGGAGGTCAATCAAGAGCCACTTAAAAGTGGGAGTGGCTCTGGCAGCACTAGACAGCTTCCCAACCATAGTAGTCCAGACCCAACAAAGAAATTTCAAATGAGAGGTGCCAAAGACATCTAAAGAGTCCTGTTATGTATGTGGTATCACAAATTTATGTTTGCTTTAGTTTAAATTGCTCTCTGCAATTTGGAAACAACTACCAGAATTTTAAAAGAATTCTTAAAATAAAATGCTATCAGTATAGATGACAAATGTAGATGCTTACATGGTATAAACATACAGATATCTATGTCCAAATTAATTATCTGCACTCCCTTTATATTCACCGAGGAGACATAAGCACCACTGAAGGGTGACAGAACAACTGGAAGACATGTAAATCAGACCAGATGTTCTCTCTCATCTATTTCTCTCCACTAACTATGAAGGGAATTAAGATAGTTACCATAGTTGTTGAAATCTGTACTGTATATGTGTCAAGTTAGGAACCCCCACTTGGTAGGTGAAAGCTCCCACACAGACACATGTGGCTGGACCAGGCATGCTCGAGTGGCCCTGCCAAGCTGCACTAGCTTTTGAGTCTATGAAAGTTATGGAGGAAAATACTGCTAGACTTCAGTCCAGTCAACACACACAAGTTTTCAGTCCTAAAGGTCTCCACAGCAGCCTATAAACAAGAGCTAGGTACATAAATAAGAGCTGTGAAGAGTTTTAGCAAGGTCTTTATTGGGAGGTTTTGCTATCCAGCCTCTTTCAGATAAGGATGTAAAAAAAATCCCACAGTAACCAATAGCTTTAGGCTGGCAAAATCAGATGCAATACCAATGGCTGGGCATTTGCAATAGCTTAGCTTATACCACTTTGAAAGATTACTATATATCTGGGAGGCAGATTATTTTGGGCCCCTATAGCATTAATTATAGCCTCAATACCTTCTTGAGTAGATTAGCTTATAACTCTCATAACCTTGTTGACCTGGTTATGCTGCCACACCATCTTGGCATCTTTTAATGTAAGTTGCTAGCTTCCACGCTAGTAAAAGCTCTACAGCCATGATTTAACTTTGCCAACACCAGCACTATTGCAAATTGTGATACTGTGCTGGAAATAAAAAAAATTAAAAAATTGACTACCATCATCTGATCCTCGTAGACATATTAACAGCAGTAGCAGTACTCACAGCGCTACTGTTTCCCCATGCAAAACAGGTACAAAATGGCCAGGGCTGCTGTCTCTCCAAGCTCACCAGATTTTACGGGACACAGATGGTTAACAGTAGTTGCAAGCTGTAGTGAATTTCTATTAGTACTTTGCAGTCTCAAAAGAAGGAAAAGCTGCATGAGAAGTGACAAACATATCCACACAGACACATTCATGTCCTTTTTTGGTGACAAATTAATATACAAATGGGAAAATAAAATCCAACCCAGATTCTGAAATCACTTGGAAATCCCTCCTTTGCAAATAAAGTGCAGATGTTCAATGTAGCATCAATGAGGAGCCTATAAGTTTGAAATCTGTACTTTCACAAACTTTACAGATGAACGTGATGTAGCAGACAGGCTGCAAGTTACGACATACTATTTTCCACATGCTGTCATTTAAACTAGCTCCAAAAGTACAGAAGTTTAAAACGTGCAGTAATTTGTAGCTGAGCAGCACTGACATTCCTGTTGTTGCTAATACCAGTGACGTTGAATTACCATTTCGAAAAGTGGAATGGTTTAGCAGGTTCAGTTCAGGCAAACTGAACTGTACTCATTTCCTTGAAGAAAATAAAATTTGCTCGGAGATGGGATGGCTAATAGCCACAGAGGCATGGTAACTCTCCCCTCCACCACTCCCTTCGCATTTGCCTGTACAACAAAAATACTCCAAATTCCATCTCTCTTCAGCCTTACCCAACACAGAAAATACTTCCTTGCTGTCCAAACAAGATCCAAAAATTCCTTTAGTCTCCATGGTGCAATAGATTAAATATTTTACTAGCTTTTGCTGAAATCATTGCTGTTAGGCAGCCATGTTAAATATGTGCAGTAATATTTTACAATGAAATACAGGTTTGTTTGAAAAGAGACACAACTCCACACTAAACTTTATCCCCAGAAAGCCTCACATGCAAACTTGTGTAACTAAAGGAACAATGCAGTTAAACTGTATGTACACTGGGATTTATGCATATAGCCACAACCTTTCTTGATTGTGGGGAACCATGTTACAGTTAGGGGTTTAGGTACAAACGAGTGTAGCCTGTTTCTAACCATCCCTCTCTGGTCTTCTAGCTAACCCGAGACACAGAGATAAGATCAAGATCCCAAAATACAAATTCCTATATCTTTTCTTTTCTCTCAATTCTTAAGACATCTGATGGTGCAGTTAAATCAGTCTGACAGCTAGCTGCTGCCAAATGTCAGCCCCTCTCTCCCCCCACTGTCACATCTCTCTACCCCTTTTTTACTCATACTGGGAAGCCTCTAACCCTGCAGCAAGTTACTTCAAGGAGCTACAGTGATGAAATTCTTCATTTTTCTTCTTGGTTTAGTTTTCTCATTGTTCAGGTCCCCAGAATGGTTCCCCATAAGGTGAAACAAATACCAGTGCAGATGAAGCAAACCCGTCTCTTTATGTCAGCTGCAATATGGAACCGCACCCTGAGAAGCATATCCTCAGCAAGGACACAACTAATCACAGAGCTTTCGAGCACTCAGCTTTTGTGGATGACCGCTTGACTTACTGTACTAACTCACAGCACTGTGTCATACAGCTATTTCGTTCTTTGGCTCCATTACAGCTTTACACTGCTCACACACAGCATGTTTAGTGAGACACGGAACTATAGAATAACATTGTTTTGGGGGAAGCCATTTGTCTCCTTCAGCTGGCAAAAAAAAACCCACCCAAAACCCCCAAAACAAACCAAACAAAACCAAAAAGTTTACCTGTTTGAATTATATAACCCCTGGTATTCCTAATCCCAGGGAATATCTTGGTTTACTGCCAAAAAGGTAAAGATTTTACACAGTTGCAGCATCACCCAGATCATTCAATTAAGGTTTTAGACTGCACTGGAGTGAAGAGTGGTGAGTGAACAGAGCAGCACAGTCCCACGCTCAGTGTCCCGTGCAACCTCACACAGAGAGACAGGGCTGACTGAATTAGCTGTAATAAGTCAGTAAAAATAATCGTGACATCAACATAGACAGCATAATCAAGATAGCTGTGCAAAGTGCAGTAGATACCTAGAAAGAGGTTCAAATACGAGAACACAGGATTTTGTCATTTTAAACTTCTGAGCATACTGGTAAGAAGGATCAGTTTCCTGCATCTATTTAGTTCACTGAAGAAAAGAAGTGACTTAAAGGCCAACTGAGCACACACATAAACAGGCTGTGTGCCACGTGCTTTTCTTATTGTCTACTTTACTAAAGTCCATGAGTCCATGGTACCCATTGCTACATCTTGTATCAGCTTAGGTCCCAGTAACTCAGAGGATGTTGCAGTTGAGCAGAATCTTTCTGACGCCAATGAGTTTCCACATTCAGCACATCAATAGCCCTCAGCACATGGCTGGAGCCTCATCCATTCCCGTTTTTCACAAGTGAAGGTCTAGCCTTTCACGTGTCTACACCAAACATCAGCAAGAGACACCTGCCAGAAGATTTGTAGGCTGGAAAAGAGTCCACATCTGCAAAGCCAAGGAAGAAAAAGAAGAGAAAAGAAAACCTGGAACTTGCAGACATGAAGGAAGGAGCTGAAGCTGTAGAAAATGTTCCTTTTCCCTAACACACATATGCTTTCAACTGTATGACAATATTTAAGGTTGTAAAGGCTGTTTCCATCAAAAGGAAGAAATGATGACAGATTATTAAATATCAAAAGAAGCTCTTTTCCCCCCTCTCAATAGTAGGATAAAACAGGGCACTCTTTTCTATTCATAGTTCTGAGATCAGTGCCTGAAAGATTCGCATGCCTTTCTTTTCATGTGCTTCACTGCGATTTCCTACTTTCCAGCACAAATGCACAGTTTCCCAGTTATTCCCTAGAGCCGGGGATTTGCAGCCTACCCCGTCCTTGGTGATGTCTCTTACTTTTTCTGTTCCCATTAAATGTAGGGGCAGGCATCCTTTAGACTGAACAAGAAGTTACCCACAGCAAGGCTTGTACGTGGGAGCTGACAGACACACCATAGCTGCCCATTTCCCAGAGCAGCTACAGTTTCAGCTTTCCCTGAGGTACCCTCCCTACAGAAATCATCAGGTTCAGTACAATCACGAAGTTACAGACAAAATTAATCAGCTTTAAAGAAAGTTTGCGAGA